AGAACATAAGCATTCCTACCGGCGTCCAACAGTCATTATATTTCTTGACCTAAAGATGGCCTTCGATTCTGTCAATCGAGAAGTTCTCTGGCGATGCTTGGCTGTAAAGGGAATTCCGAGAAAATACATTGCACTGATTAAGGCACTCTACTCGTACTCATGCAGCCAGGTGAGGGCTTACGGCGAGTTGTCATCTGAAGTGGTGACGACTAGTGGTGTCCGTCAGGGATTCCCATTATCCCCATTCCTATTCAACTTCATCATAGATGTACTGATGGACTTAACCGTAAGTGACTTCAGCGACTCAGGGATTGACTTGCTATCAGGGAATAATCTCGTTGACTTTGAATATGCAGACGATATAGTCCTTCTAGGCGAGGACGGTGACAAAATGCAGAGTCTTCTAAACACCGTAAGCTGCAATCTAGGAATGTTTGGCATGCGATTCGCTCCCGCCAAATGCAAGATGTTGTTACAGGACTGGACTACATCGACGCCTAGATTAGAAATAGGAAGTGAAGTGGTAGAGCACGTTGACCCCTTCACTTATTTGGGAAGTACAATCAGCCAGTGCCAACGGGTTGATCTCTGACGAAATCTCAGCTACGGATACAGAGGGATAGTTTCGCATATGCCAGTTTACGCCGTGTCTGGCGTAGACGTGATATCCGGCTATCGACCAAAGGGCGTGTGTACTGCTCATCAGTCCGCTCCGTCCTCCTTTATGGCTGTGAGATCTGGCCATTGAGAGTGGAAGACATGAAAAGATTAGCTGTCTTTGACCATAGATGCCTGCGTTCTATCTCCCGTGTAAAGTGGCATAATAAGGTGAGCAACATTGAAGTTAGGCGTCCAGTTCTAGGTAAACAGGGGAAATCAATCGACGAAGTCGTGAAGTTACAAAGACTGAGATGGTTAGGACATGTATTGCGTATGCCAAGTCATCGCCTCCCTCGACGAGCAATGTTAGCGGATATAGGGTCAGGCTGGAAGAAAGCTAGCGGCGGTCAAACAAAAACTTGGCACCAGTCAATGAAATGTACAGCAGTTAGTCTAAGCCACGTAGGAAGGTGTAGACTTGTTGGTTGGGGTCCTCGGGACGGTAAACACCAATGGTTGGAAACAATTGGTGACATGGCTCAAAATCGTTCTCAATGGCTGGTGCAGATGCATCCACTCCTTGTGACTTATGATCTCCAATGAAACTGTTTTGTTCTTCGTTATTACTATTCCTTTGTCTCACACCTCTGCTCACTGTCTCTATTATGCGCTTCTTGTACTTTCTTCTCTTGCTTCGCGTGCTACACGGAGTGTGGCGACTTGAACAGCCGCACATTTGTGCAGAGTTCTATGTCGAAAACAGACAGACAGACTATGCCAGCTAACATTGGGCTGTCGAGAAAGGCAATGGCTAGGCATACGTAACACGTGTTTCAACGATTTTAAATCAATGAAGCTTAAAAAACCCACCGCCTGATTTTCCCTCACCTAACACTCGATGCTTAACCTCAGTATTACTCACCATATTAAACTATTTAACACATTAAAATGAACGCAAATGCCTGTGATCGGACAGTTAGCCTTTTCATGTCTTCCACTTTCATTGGCCATGTCTCACAGACATAAAGGGGGATAAAGCAAACTACTGAGCAGTATAGACTTCCTTTGATTGACGGTCGGACAACACGTCCATGCAAGAGATGATGCAGGTTGGGATATGCTTCACGAGCCTTTTGTATCCATGTTGATATTTCGTAAACGATCAACCCGTTGGAACTGATGTAACTTCCGAAATAAGCGAAATGGTTAACACGCTCTACCACTTCACTCCCTATACTTAAGGTAGGAAATAAATGTCGAAAAATCAGGGAAAACACTAGAGTATTATTCATCTGGAAAACCTACACTTAGGAATTACGATCGCTTTCTTAATCACTCCCTTTTTTACTGCAAAATAAATGATTTAACTTAAAGTCAAAATAACACATTGGTGTCAATATTGTACCAGGTTTTGTGTTTTGAATAAAATAATAGGAAAATATTATGTTGGAAACCAGTTTACTAGATGTAATCATATTTCACTATTGAAATAAGTATATAGTGACTCTCAGTCTCATGTACATATAAACAAACAGATGCACCAACTTGCCACGACTCGAAAAGTAGGCGAAGGAGAATACACATATAGCATACTACTGCAACGAACTCCGACCAATAGTTGCTATCTTGATATGGAAAACACTTAACCCTAAAGCAGAAAACTCACTCCTCGACTTAACCCCAGAAGACAACCGTTTGTGTATTGTCCCGCTGAATCAGTCTGCGAGAACAAGGAAATATAACGATACTCATCGATATCTTTACGTAATCTTCCACTGAATGCAGTTCATATGAAGGAAACGATCTTTATTACAAGCTTTCCAGTCTGCTCCTAAAGGCATAACCTTCATATATACCCATATTAGTAACTGACCTTTTTGTTCAAAGAAGAAAGCTAAGCCAAAAAGACACATTGGAGGTATCTATGGAGTACCGTGCCAAGAACCAACAACGATGATTGCCCTTTACATTCTGTTCCTGCGCAGCACTAACTTCGAACATCGCTTTGATCCTCTACTACCGACAATGAGTCTAAAACTGTCACAGACTGCCTTGTATCGATGGAGAGAACCAATGATAGTCGTTTCCTCTAAAATTTAGTGGGCTCTGATCATGCGCCTGTGTACACCTCACAAATAAGTTGACATAAACCATCAGCGATAGAGCTCTTAAATGACTAATGCAAAACAAGTGGGGACAACAAAACGTGAAGGTCAGACTTCAAGTGTTGGTGATGGTTCATCGACCATGCCAAGTAAGATACTAGTTGTCTTTGAGATGGCCCTGACAGGTTGGTGCAGACAATTGGTCACCCCGGCCTATAAGGGAGCAATTCTTGTAATAACCCTGGTGGCATAATCTTGACTAAAGTATCTGAGATCCTAGGGTCCATAATTATAAGACAATTAAGTGGGATTCAGAAAGAGGACACCTGTAAGAGCCAGGCAAGTTTTAAAATGGCAAGACTACATTGACAGAATCCCCACCCCTCTATATAATTTGAAATGCTAACTAGCATCTAACATTTGACCTCTTTCTTAACCTGAAGTGACAACAACGAATAGTATCCGTCTAGTGCCACCTTACTTATTTAACATTATTGTAAATGCAGACTTGCTACCAGGTGAGCAAACAGACGGCATAGCCCATTGGAGGGAAGACTTTGAAAAAATTAAGCTTTTGGAATACTAAGCATATGTTGGCATAGAACTCAACCTTATCAGATGCAAAATGATGCTGCAGAATCAGTCTGCATCGCCTTTTAGTCTAGGGATACAAAGTGAAATGACTGAATGTGCTGATCACTTCAACTATGTGCTAAATCACATCAGTCCCAGGAGACCGGTTGCTAACGAAATCTCGATGTAAATACAGAAGACTCGTTTAAAGCATGCCAACTTCATGACGTCTGGTACTGATGTGATAATTAGTGCGTACTAACCAGCAGCATACTTCGTCCTACACTGTAACTGCAGCCAGTGAAAAGAGACATTTAAAAGTTAAAGGTTTCCAAAACAGATGACCTTGTTTAACTGCTCACATCAGACGTAAAAACATAGCACTCAAGTCATAATGATGTTAAATGCAGGGTGATTGGTAAGGAGAGTTTGTAGCTGTGAAATAATATCTACTGAAGTAGCTAGGAAACGTGCTGCATAACTCTGAGTTAAGAATCATTAGATTCGAAAAAATGAGTGGACTGACTACAACACGGCATGAATGCATAGAGACACAGAATGCGTTATGTATGCCTAGTTATCGCCTTCCTCGACGGGCAGTGTTAGCTGAAAAATGGTCAGGCCAGAAAAGAGCTAGCGGTGGTCAAACCAAAACATGGCTTCATCAGTCAGTGAAATCCACAATAGTTAAAGCCACGTAGGAAGATGTAAAATTCTTGCTTGGGTTCTCCGGGACGGTAAACACCAATGGATGGATACAACTGGTGATATGGATCAAAATCGTTTTCAATGGCGCAGATGCATCCACTCCTTGTGACTTATGATTTCCAATGAAACTATATCGCTCTTCGTTATTACTATTCTTCGTCTCATAACTCTGTTTACTGTCTCTATTTTGCATTTCTACTTTCTTCTCTTGCTTTGTGTGATACATGGAGTGTGGCGACTCCAACTGTCGCACATCGGTGCAAAGTTCTACGTTGAAAACAAACAGAATTCCACTTCGAGACACGTAAATAAAAGTTGGTTGTCTGGCTAGGGTTATTGGGATGCTAAAGCCTAGTGGGTGGAAACTGTAGGTGACCAGACGCAAAGTTGTGCACGGTAGCAAAGATGTACCTTCTGTATTTCACTAAATTGCGTTCTCGCCCATGCTTGTCTATTGGAATATCACTAAATAAGACAGTATCTGTTTATCTTTTCTCAAGATTGACAGTACCCAGTTACATTTATTAACTCACGTCGTCTGGCACCATAACATAATAACGTAGTCGGGTACAAAAAGTTCAACTTTAAATCACACCGCGTAAAACTGAGTGGTTTGGTGGCTTTTGTATTACAACTGCAGTAAACCTAAGAATAGTGATACAGTATGAAACCTGAACATAAACTGGTGAGTTGGTTATGACAAACCAAATTGTAAGCTAAAAAACTATCAAATCAAGGTCAACTATTACACAAAATCCTGCTTTTAAATACTAATGCATTAACCCCCTAAAAATGTGCACTTGGTACAAATAAGTTGGTTGCACTGCTTTCACTAGGAAAAACTTGATCTATATGACAGTGAGTATGCAGTTAAACAGTTTAAACGCTGGACGATCAGTCTTGTCATATACATACTGAAAGAACGCACACAAGCAAAATAATCTGATAAAGCTTATTAAAAGTTTTAAAGGAAAGAATGAACATTTACGGTATAAAAAATTGAGACCTACTTACATATTTCCTTATTTCCCGAACAAGTGTATAGAAAGCATCCTCGACACCTTGTCTAGTTTTTGCAGAAGTCTCGACGTATGGAATATTATATGAGTTAGCTGACATTTTTGCTTCGTTTGTGCACACGCTTCGGTTCGTGAGATCGACTTTGTTTCCAACAACTGAAACGAAATTTGAAACAGAAAATAACATCAACTTACGAACCATTGGGACTTCATCAGCATCTTTGACTCTTTTGATTTGCTCTCGGTACTGATTTATGTCTTCATAGCTTTTTAAGTTATTCACAGCGAATACACATAAAAACCCTTCCCCCGTCCGCATATACTGATCTCGCATTGCACTGTTTAAAGTATATTTTCATACACAAAATTACCTGTATTCTTCCTGGCCAGCAGTATCCAGTATGTCTAGTAAACATATCTCCCCATCGATAACTACTTGCTTTCTGTATGAATCCTCTAATAAAACTTATATGAGAAATCCATTTAAAATATACCTATAGTTGGGTCATATTCCTCAACAAAACTAATTTATAGTTAATAAGTTGAATGGAACTTACTGATTCTGAATAAGCTGGATCGTAAGAGCACTTTTTCCAACTCCGCCAGCTAAATATAAAGCAATCTAGGTTGAAAAGGACCATCTTACCCCCAACCACAACCAATTTATACTCCGTCATACGAAGATAGCTCAGCACGTAAAGCCGACGCTATAAGCTCAGATGGCCTTGAGGTGTGCAACTAAACAATCTGATTTACATGTGAGCAATGAACTATACAATGGCCTTACTCTACCATTTCAGATATATTGCCTCCGATATATATTTCTAACATCTCGCCCATGTTGTTATGATACTTAAGTGACCATGTCAAAATTCCCATCACTATTTTCAAAAATTGCTCTAGCAGTAGGTAATTCCAAAAAATTATTGGCCACAGCATTCGTCACTGAACATTGGAAGCTGACCGTCAATGTTTAAGTCTACTTGTCTAGCTGAAGGCTTACGGTCAAGCTTCCACGCCACTTGGCACGCCATCGTGTAACGTTCGTTTGTTCGTGCACAGTCCCTAGCTAGGCAATCATCCCGCACTCCTATTAGGTCCCGTAATATATCTCATAATCTTGACGGTCAACTTTGGCGTTTCGCTTTGCTTCGGCCTACGCAGGACAAATTCTATAGAAGTTGTGGGTATTCGATTTTGCGTTGGTAAACTTTGTACTATCCATGAACGTAAACACTCTCAGACTCTTAATAGCTCATAAATGCAACCAACTACCAAGTATCACAAAGCTAGTCGGATTTTTCCTCAATAAATTTTTTTGCTTTATTCCAAAAACAGTAATAATGATACAGCAAGGAATTTTCAGCATTCAGTACAATATTGCATCTAGTTTACTCAAAAACGACAACAACAAAAAAAATTAAAAATACACATTACACAACAGTAATAAAACGATTGTTATAGCAGCTACATATCAAAATACTGTATGCCATACGGAGAAAATATGCATAAAGTACAAAACTGTAGTAATAATAGTAATACCAACTAAAATAAGATAGCAGAGTAACAATTAAACGATAGAAAGTGTGACACCATAAAATACAGAAAGGTGAACGATGAAAGGGTCGATTCACTGTGTTAATTACATTATAACTTGTAAGTTTCACGTCTAACAGAGTCTTCGTCACATAAAGTACGGGCTAAGTAGGGTATTGTAGAATTTCTGTGCTTAGTGGTACGATCATATAACTTTTTATATTGACTTCTCGTCCTACCTGATGAGATACAAGGGGACAGGTGTGAATAAAGGGGGTGCAGAGGGTCTGACAGTATAGCCTTTGCCCATTTCGTACAGGAATTTATATGCCTCTCGACTATAGCATTAGCGAGCTCATGCAGTGGGTGACCACAAGCTCTACTCACAGCATTTAATACTCTTCGTAATATGATATAATCTTTTTTGAGCAGCCCAGGAAAGATTAATGGAGAGCAATAGAGTACAATAGGTAAAATACAGGAGTTTAAAAATTGCAAAACTAAAGGTTGGTTGATACCTGATTGTCTTAACTTTTTAATGTAGAAGGTAAGACAAAACATTTTCTTAGAGATAGATAAGACACGGGATGACCATGAAAGGTCAGAGGAAAAAACTAATCCAAGGTATTTAATGCTTGATTTGGTTTCAATTTCCGTGCCATCTATGCTACAGGGATCATGCGAGCTAACTAGTTCAAGTAAGTCACATCGATGCTTGAAAGTAAAGTCAAGTGCCTGACATTTGGAAGGCCTTAATATAAGACCATTTGATTTGGACCACTTGTTGATGTCCAACAGAAAGCTATTAAGTTTGGAGCTGTCAGACTCAGAAGTGATAGGCAGTGATACAGTCAGATCATCTGCATATTTGACAAAGTTAGTTTCGTTTGAATGAGGTAGGTCATGTAGGAAGAAAGAAAAAAGAAAAGGAGAGAGGACAACACCTTGTGGAACACCGGATTTTGTAAGCGAGGTAGAAGAAGATTTGCCGTTATATAAAGTATACTGCATTCTATCAGAAAAATAGGAATGCAACCAACTCTTTGCCCAGGATCCTGTTTGTGTCAACGATAGCTTATTTAACAAAAGGCCGCTAGGTACAGAGTCAAAAGCAGATGTGTAGTCCAAGAAAGCACTAGGAAGATATTTAGCACCTTTGTCTAAACAAGAGACAACATTGTGATATAAGACAACCGCAGCATCCAAGATACTTCTACCATGTTTGTATGCAAATTGTTTAGGATCATTGAAAGGTTTCAATGAAGGTTCAAGACGAAGTAAAAGTAATTTTTCCATCAATTTTAAAATCGGGGAAGTAACTGCAATAGGCCGAAATTTGATATCAGGACCAGAAGATGCTTTTGGTATAGGGGTAATTTTAATGTTTTTCCATGCAAAAGGTAGAACATAACCGGAAAAAGAAGCATTAAAAATGTTAGTAAGAGGATAACACAAAATATCAGCACAATTCCTGAGGAAAATGGGAGGTATGCCGTCAGAACCAAACCTTTGAGAAGCATAAAGAGACCGGAGACAGTTAAGGACATCAAGGGATGTCAGCCACGTCTCGTAAACCGTTAATGCCCAGCTCTTGCTACGCTCGGGCTCACGCTGTCGCTTGAAGTTTCTCAGAAACGCTTAGTAATAACGGGCGAAAAAACCAAAACACCAATTGTTGACTCGAGGATTCTTTACTGTTACACCAACATATAAATCACGTATGACTAAGGTCTGTGAACAAATATTACAATAATAAATCACAATATTACTTCTGACGGTTGTCTCCTGACTTCTTTCTGCACAGCGACCGATGAGACGATGACTGTCGTATTGTTGCCTCCGCGAAAATACAGGGAAGTTGGTTTTGAGCAAACAACCAAGAATTGATCTTCAATCTTCAACTACATTGACACTCCCCGGCAAAATACGGGTCCAACCCCTTTTTTCTATCAATACCAATACACGTTGACTTGGATGCCATTGCGAGAACCTGGATCACACGGACAGAGCTGAAATGGAAAACAAACAGAAAAGCCAACACACCACAAGCATACTCACAGCACAATCTCACACATCAATGACGACCTGCGCCTTCCAGTTAAAGGCATCCACTTGCAACACAATCGCCACTTGCTAGAATGACTCTTGCAGAATGCAACGTGACCATAGCACCACCTCACGATACTCTACGCACATCCTCTTATCTACTCACTACCAATTACCACTGCAATCGCTTGGCACTCATTCTGCCTCAATTCTAGTAACGATGACGTATGCGAGCCTCAGTCGTTTACACTCTTTCTCCCCGGCGTGTCAGACCGCGGCTAACAATTATCTCCGTGTGCATTTCATTCTCAGCAATAGCCTAGCCTCCCCGGCGTATACGACCCATCTGCTGTCTCTAACATCAATCAATTCATTCATGGATGTAGAAGAGTGGACACAACTTCAGAAGTAATCACGACGAAAATTTTAACAAAATTATGCAATAACGACAAGGTACGAAAACAACGAGTAAACCCAATGAATCCAAAAACACCAACTGATATGACACACCACACATATATACAAACAGTACACACAAACTCGTGGATCATGTCTTGATGGAATTCCCTTGAAGAATCTCAGGACTGACACCAGTACGCCAAAGCTGTTGTTGCTCAGCTTTCAGAAAGTTGTCTACCTGCAAGACCACCACAACTGGTGTCTCTTACTATTAGCTCAGGTTTAACACTAGCATCTGATGATAGGTGGGCTACATGCTGATCACTCACACTGACGGTCTGACAAGTATGCATGCCTTCTGCAACTGCATCTGCATTTATTTCCACTTCACGTTCGAGTTGTACAGAAACTTTGTTCAACTCAGCAGTAGTAGGCATATCCCTCATCTCATCATGATCAACCAAAGACAACTGTTGAGTATCATGATCATTATCACGAATATTCACTTTACCGTCAACTTCATCATTTTCAAACTCTTTAATAACAGAGGTAGACAATTTTGGTTCCTCCTCGCAAATCCTAAAAGGTTTCATAACTTCACTCTGACTAGTAATACCTTGTAAACTTGTAGGGTCAGAACTGGACTCTGAAGCAGCAACTCTATTCTGGGACACTCTATTCAGCAATGGCTTACCAGTTGCAACTACAGACTTCTTGACCTCACCGTTATCGTCACACAATTCGGAGTCAGGCCTGGAGTTTACATTTAGCTTATCACTGAACTTGCTCACTGGTTTACAGCTCACCTTTGTATGCACCTCTTGCAAACGTGTAAAACACAACCGTGTTTGTCTTGCATCTTGTAACTTATCTGTTGAGGATGTACTACGAAAGCTGTTACACTCACTAGGTCTAAATGCATTTCCTGACATCATAGAGCCTTCTAGATATCCACCTCTCTGAGACCCTTCCGTCATCAATGATTGCGTTTGCTCTCAGACTGCTCTATTCTAGTGGTGAGATTCATTATACTGGCAAACTTGCTCATCGATTGATTGACACTATCTTTTACTAGTTTCAGGATATCATCAAATTTTGGCTCGATACCCTCATCCTCCATACGGGAGCTTATCTTCACCCACTTCCTTTGCAGTCGAGTAGGTAGGCGTCTCGCTATTACCTCTATGGCTTAACTTGAGTTCAAATCGATCATGGAATTCACCGAAATTAATGCATTCTTGTAAGTCAACGGATTATCCAGAAACTCGTTGAGCGCCTTGGAGTCGTCTTGTAATTGACCACCATTACCCTTAACAGCCTCGAGTAATTTCCTTACAATCATCGAACGTCTTCCAAACCTTTGGCGTAGTATGCTCATAGCGTCAGCGTGTCTCTCATTAGGGGGCATGAGCTTACATCACTGTATAGCTCTTGCTGCAATTCCAGTGCAATATCTCATCAAATACATTAACTTCATTTAATCAGTTAATAAAAAACCACTCAACATGATCTCAAACTCCTTTACAAATTGTAAATAGTCAGCTGGATTTCCGTCGAAACACCGTGGTTCAAATTTAGGGAGTTTGATGTTCCTATTATCCCTGAACGGCGAAACAGTAACATCAACCATGTCATGCTTAACATGAGACACATCGTTACAATTAACAGACAAGTCACCATGACTTACTTTCCTGTT